AAGCAGCTGGCATCTTGATATCTCTGAAAGAATAAGTGAAATCCATTATTCAGTTAAGAGAGCTCCATCTTTTAAAGATGTTCAAATGACTGGCACTGAACAAACCTTCTGCAGTAGTACCACAAGTGCCTGAGTGCCTAAAAGCAATAAACAACTAGGTAAACTGTTTATGGCAACCAAACTATATGCCACTTAGTGATAAGGTGAGTTTCCCCCATTTCTGCAATGATCCTTCAAAAACGTCAAAGGAGATGAAATCAATAAAACACTTGAGAGGCTTTCAAAAAGAACAAATAAGAATTACGACGACTAAAAGAAGAGTGCTAATCCTATGTAGGCTAAATGGAAAATAAATTTCAGAAAGCAATATATAACATCCAGGAGGAATAGACAGCAACACACAATATCACACGATATTACCTTGGATTTGTGAATATAACAGAAACACATAAGGCCTACATTAACTACTTTCCCAATTTCCATTACACTTTAACTCATGAATCTCTTAACAATAAAGGAGTCTCTATGATTACTGCAGGCCTAGAGTAACAGAAGTGTTGGTGAGTGCACAAAGCAAAATGAGAAAGACAAAGTTAATGAGATCTTTGCCAATAAAAAAATAGTAAATGAGACACCACCACAAAAGAAAATGACTAAATGAGAGTGGAAGATCCACAAAAGAATCAATAATTGTCACAATCTATTATGAAATGAGCTGCACGTCGTATTGCAAACTGACTTAAAAGGCTGAAAGCTGAGATTACTGCATCATTTGCAATAGTGACTGTCAACATTTGACTGCCAACAATAAAAGCAAGCTGGATTCAAACAGCAGAATAACTTCAGACAGTTTCCATTATTCATTAGTTGACAAAGAGCAAGCAGCATTACCAGAAATGAACCACAAATGAGTTGGGAGAAATCTAAAATGAAACAAGGAAAAGAAATCTTTTATATGTTTAATCTGTATTGTAGAAAGCATGTATAGCCAATTGCTACTCAGAACCTTAGACCATTAAAAGGACTCCCATACAAAACATTTGTGAACTAATTACAGCAACTTACAAAAGGAATCACCTAGAGTTACATCAAGGGAGGAGGCATTTATGCCGGTGATTGCTGCATCAATACATGCTCCATGCTTGTAAACATTCTATAATGTGGAAATCTACCATAAGAATTTTCCAGATTGTCTTCAGCTTCTCTTGTTGCGTTTCTGGTCCCAAAAGTGAGATGAGTTTCTTGAGAAGTTCATTGAAACAAACTCTACATCACCAGAAGGGATGTAAAAAAATAATTCGTCAAAATAATACTATATTAATGACACAGGTGAAGAAGTTTTTCACGTTTCAACAATAACTCTTTGGCTTTGGCACCTATTTAGGTACCTGAACATCAGAGTCAACAGAACAAGCAAGTACTTCAGCCATGATAAGAGAAACCTCCTCTGAGGATGTGTCTTTGGGTCATCTTTAGTTCCACCTTTCATGGACTTTTAATTGTAGGATGCTTGTAGAAAATACCATCAATAAGCAAAAATATATATTAATACAATTTATACAATTCAGAGTCTAAATAAAAGTTTATGAAGAAGAGCATATGATATATAAGCTTATTAATACCTTCCTTCAAACTATGCAACTCGGAAACATACAATATGTAAATGCTAATGTATATATTTCATTTCAGAGATTCTGTTTTAATTAGGAACAAACATTTTATTTATATCTGCGCAAGCAGAGAACAATTATCTAATTTTTGAGTTTACACAAAACACAACATACCATCTAGTTAGGTAATTAAGCAAAAATCATCAATTTACCCAACACTTATTCACCCACCAAGTAATTAATATTTTCTATATGTTTCGTAATTTTACCTATACACATAATTTTTTCAAAGAAATTATCATATTTTAACACAGTTTTTGTGACAAGAATGATGTTTTGCAATCAGGACTGTAAAACATAAACCCTTAGATGGGATTCAGACTCGCCACATCCAATGAATTTAGTTATGCAATCTGCTACAATCTGGATTGCACCAAGGAAATTTTATTAAAAATAAAAGAATCAAAAATAGATTTTTTGTTAAGATAGAGAGATAAAAGCCACTAAAACTAATTGAAAAGGCAAACAAAGCTTTTTTTCTTTTAATATGAAAAAAGATTATATAAGAGAGAACAGTTATTTCTTTTATTCAAATATTTTTTTAACCAAACTTAAGATTTGCTATTAAAAAAAAAAAAACTTGGCTCAATATTTAAATTTAAAATTTTTAATTTGAAATATTAAGTTTTTAACCAATCCAGTTCCCCCCTTTAAGGATATAGACAAAACTAATTCAATCACAATGTAATTTTATTAAAATTATTATAAAATTTTATAATTATCCACAAAATAGTAGTAGTCATTTACTAAAAATTTATTTTCAATTAATTATCATCTTTTAATTTTGATAGAGGATAAATATTTTTTTTCTTATTTTATACTTATTATCATCTATCAAAACTCCTATTTACACACTACACATTTTTTCTTTTAACAGTCAATTAATATTCTAAATTATTTTTCATTTTGATCAACCCCTTCTACTATTCAAAACCCATGAAAACTAAAAAATTTATGGTCAAATCATCTATTTACACCATGATTTTGTTGTTAATTTGGGATTTTCATAAGTTTTAAATTATTAAAAGTGTTGATCGAAATAAAAATTGATTTAAGATGCTGACTACAAAGAGAAAAAATATATAAAATGTAAATAGAGGATTCAGCCTATTGTTATCTCTTAAAATCTTTTCTTAATCCTTATTGAACCAGTTTATTAATCTAATAGTTTGTCGCCATATGCTAACGTTTGAGTTGGGTTAGCACGAAAAGTTTTATTTTCACTAATTATTTTAAATTGTTTTTCTCATAAATATTCATGTTCAAAACAAAAGTTTTTGTTATAATTATCAATTTTACTTATAATTTATTAATTTATATTTTTTTAATGATTAATTATAATATTTAAAAATATATGTTTATGAATTAATTTTAGTTAATAAAATAATATATAATAATTATTTTATTAATAATTAATTATTTTTAACAATTAAATTAAAAAATTAAAAAATTAAAAAATTTTATAACTTTAATAAAATTAATAATAATCATAACTACATGAGCACCTTGTGCTTAAAAATAATGCAAAAACGTTACTTTTCATAATCTTCTTCATTTTTAGATACAAACATTTGGTCATGTTCGTCTAGATGAGGTGGTTATTATTTGATCATTAATAAAACAAAAGTAAATTGTAAGTACAATGGTTAATTAAAAAAGAATATTAAAGACATGAAAGAATTATTATTAGTTATTATTAAATTTAAAAATATCTTTTTTGTGTGTGTATATATATTAATATTATTATAATTATAATATTATATAAAATTTTTAAGATTAAAATTATAATATAATATAAAATATGTAAATATATATAATATTATAAATAAATATTTAAATAAAAATTAATTATATAATAATATATTATATTATAAATTTATAATGTAATATATATTATCGTTATCTGTTTTTTTGGAGACGGACTTCATCGGGAGAAAGGTGATCTTGAACAACCGCACAAGACTACAACCAAGCACTTGTCTTATCCATCTTGGTCTTTTTGTTATATTGTTATAAGAGCGGTGCTACGGGCACTCGCTTTTTGCACTCGCCGGCCAACACGTCCCCTTTCATTGGGCCACGTAAGCTTCTTTAAAGCTTTCAGCACAACCTCTCGTAAACCAAAATAACGTGGCCCAATAAAAGAGAAAGTGTTGGCCGGAGAGTGCAGGAGCCGAGTGCCCCTAGCATTGCTCTTGTTATAATGATGATGGTAAACGTTTTCATCAAGTTTGCCACATGAAACTAATATTTAAAATAATTAGTCTTATATGCAATAAAGACAAACATTTACCCAGAATTGTAAATATTTTACTTTTCATATGTTAACCAACACCAGCCTGTAAATTTTTTGTTTTTTTGTGCAAACCAACGTGTAAAATGTTGAAAATAGTAAAACGTATTATAGGCGTTAGAAAGAATAGATAGGGAAATGAATGAAAGGTGACTGTATTCTTTGCAGAGGTTACATTACACATGCAGTGCTGTACTATTCTATTCTGTACAATGATTTTCTTCATTTTTTGACTTTTTATAATTTCTGATTGTTTAGTCTTCTTCATTTCACACGTTTGATTGCGTGATCTCTGGAGTAAATAATAGGGCGGGTCAATCCATCACCCAAACAATTTCTAAGAGCGAGGACACTCTACTCTTTTTTTTTCTTTTTCTTTTTTTTTAATTTTGGCAAAACAGAAAATCAAGTGCGAGGACCTCCATTGCGCCATTAATCACGTGGGTCTTAGTCTGGATTCCACATGATGAATTAAGCCATCAATCACGGTAGACGGTAGATCTTAGTTTGGAGTCCACATGGTGAATGTCCTTGCATATTAGGACATCTTAAAAATCCGAAAACTCTTTTTCTTTTTCAATAATGCTATAATTACTTATAATTTTTATAAAATTTTAAATTTATAATTATAATATAATATTAAATAAATATAACATAATAACTGATGGTACCATAATTTCGCCGTAGGTCGAGCCTTCTTGTTTGTTATACCTAAACTTGATTTTTTTTTTTTTTATGTGTTAACACTGTTTCACCTTTGCAGATCACCACAATACACTAGTTAAGTAAAATGAATAAAGTGGATAAAAAATTGAAATATAAAATACCAAATTGCAGCACAAATGAAAGATTAAGGGCTGGCGGACAAAAAAAATGCAAATCCAATTGAAGAATTAATGTGCATTGTTCCATTTTTTTTAATATATTAAATAATAAATTATATAATAGAAGATAATTTTTCTCTTTTTAAAATTCTTCTCTTTTCAAACCTCTTCTTACTTATCTCAAGATTACATTTAAAATATCTAATGTAAAGACTCAAAATTTTCACTGCTAAGATTATCCCCAAAGGACTAACAATTGTTTTTTTTTTTTTTGGGAGAGGAGGACTAGTAGATTAAAATATATGAATTCCTCTTTCTTCTCCTATGGCATCCAAATTTAATCAAACCCTCAATCCTCACTTAACCTTCCTCTCTTGCTATGAATTAAGAAAGATTTGCGTAGATTCTCTTTTAAAATTGCTTTGTCAGGGCCTAGTTGGATGGTGTATTGGATTTGGAAGCAAAATTTAGATAAATTATTAGGTAAATATTGGGAAATTGGTATGGGTAAGACTTGGTTTTAGGGATCTAATTGAAAGGATAAATAATGAAATTTTAATCTTTTTAAAAATGAGTTAGTTAATTTTAAGAGTTCAAATCGTTTGAAGAGAAACTTTGAAATTGGAGGTAGTTAAGAACAGAGTGTAAAAAAAAAAGAAAGTGAAAGACAAGGAAATTGTAGCTGTGAAAAACTAGGAATAGTCCACTCCATCCAATTGAACATAACCTTAGTTTCTGAAACATTATACGGAAGAAAAAGAAAAATTTATTATACTCCAATAAATTGTGTTAATTACCATATAGCTGTTCTTGGCTAAATCAGTGTAATGCCTAAAGAATGTATCATGTTATAGTCTCTCCCTCTTTCTTTCTCTTTTTTTTTTTTTTTTTTTTTTTTTTTTTTTTTTTTTTTGATCAACCAATGTCTTAACAATTAACAGACGAATGAAAGGGAAGCCATCTTATCAAATGAAAAGATAAAAATTGAAAGAATATACTACCAATCAAAATAATGCTTTATATATTTTCAAAAAAAAATAATGCTTTATAACAGATTATTAAAATCTACCTCTGCTCCCCTCGTTATTTACGAAGATAGAAATGGATTACGAGACTCTCTTAATCCCCTTCCACTTCCCCCAAGCGAGGTTCCTGTTCAAGGACCAGAGGCTTCCAGTGCCAATCTTGGACTCGACACTAGCCCAGATCCTACTGGGAATCTCAAATCAGAGTGATTGGATGGTGAAGATCATTTCATGGAACTGCCGTGGGGCAGCAAAACATAATTTTCATAGCAGTGCCATGGATTTGAAACGCACTCATAATCCTGCTATTATGCTGGTTGTTGAAACTAAATTATCTGGAGAAGATGCTCGAAGCCAAGCCGCTTCTCTTGGATTTGCTAAATCCTTTGTGGTGAACTCTAATGGGCTTGCTGGAGGGCTATGGCTTTTATGGGATGATGCTGCAGTTGTGGTGGACATTGTCTCTTATAGCGATCAAGCCATTCATGCAATTATTAAGGTATGTAATAACCCTTCTTTTCCTATTGATTGGTTTCTTTCTGGTATTTATGGTAGGCCCCAAATAGCTACTAGAACTCTTTTATGGAATGAACTATCTACTATTGCTGAAAACATATCTATGCCTTGGATGATGATTGGGGATTTCAATGATGTTTTAGACCAAAGTGAGAAATTTGGTGGTAATAGAATATGTCAAGCCCGTGTCCGGGCTTACTTGGAGTGCATGAACAATTGCAACATGATTGATCTGGGGTTTGTGGGTAATAGATTTACTTGGGTTAACATGAGATTTTCGCACCATCTTATTCGAGAAAGGCTTGATCGGGCTTGGGCAAATCCTGAGTGGAAATTGCTATTTCCCGAAGCTACTCTCTTTCATCTTCCACGGACTAGTTCTGATCATTGTCCAATCTTGCTTGATCTTAAGCCATTTACTCATCGCACAGGTTCTAGACCTTTTCGTATGGAAAAATTCTGGCTTGATCATCCTGAATTTCAAGCTCTTATTCAACAAATTTGGTCATCTAATAACTCCAACACATCTGATTGTTTGGATACCTCTATGAAGCAAGCAAGGATTTGGAGTCGAAATACTTTTGGGAATATTTTCAAAAGAAAGCAAAAGCTCCTTTCACGACTTGCTGGTATTCAAAAGTCTACTTCCTATAATTTTTCTCACTTCCTTTGGAATCTTGAAAAGGAGCTTATTCAAGAATTTGAGCGTGTGCTTAAATTAGAGGAGGATTTATGGTTCATGAAATCTAGAACCAATTGGATTGTCGAGGGGGATAGGAATACCAAATTTTTCCATCTATCCACTATTAAACACCGATCAAAGAACAGGATCCTTGGGCTTAAGAACCTTGTTGGGGACTGGATTCAGGATAGCTTGTCCATTTCCAAAATTGCTACTGATTTCTTCTAGGATCTTTTCTCCACCACACTTGATCATTCCTTTATGGACTCTTTTCGAACTGTTCAACTTTCTATTGACGAGTCCCTTAGTTTGGACTCTCTCAGTGGAATTCCCTCCGAAGTTGAAATTTTGAGAGCAGTTAACTCTATGAAGCCTTATAAAGCTCCTGGCCCGGATGGTACCCACCCTTTCTTTTATCAAAAACTTTGGGCTGTGGTTAAGGATAAAGTTTGCAATGATATCAAACAGATATTTCAGGAGAGTTCTATTCCAGAAAAGTGGAATGAGTGCCTGTTGGTCCTTATTCCTAAAGTTAAATCCCCTGAAACTATTCAACAATATAGACCTATTGGGCTGTGTAATACCTCTTACAAAATTATTTCCAAGATTCTTGTTCATAGATTGAAGCCTTGGATGGATAAACTTATCTCCCCCTGTCAATCAAGTTTTATCCCAGGTAGACAAGGTATGGATAATGTTCTTATTCTTCAAGAATTAGTTTATTCTTTCAAGAAGAAGACAGGTAAAGTTGGGGATATGATATGCAAACTAGATTTAGAGAAAGCTTATGATAGGCTCGAGTGGAGCTTTATTCGGGAGGCTTTGCTTTTCTTCAAGTTCCCAATGGAGATCATTAATCTTATTATGTCAATGGTTTGTTCTTCATCTATTTCTGTTCTTGTGAATGGAGACAAAACTGAATCTTTTCTCCCAACTAGAGGCATCCGTCAAGGTGACCCCCTTTCTCCATATTTGTTCATTATTTGCATGGAGTTTTTATCTCTTAAAATATCTGCTGATATGGAGGCTGGGCACTGGAAAGGTTCTAAGGCGGGTAGGAGAGGGCCTTTGCTCTCTCACTTGTTCTTTGCAGATGATATTATATTCATTGGTAAGGCTACCCCTCAAAATTGTGTTTACTTGAAAAACCTCTTGGATTTTTTTTGCAGTAGATCTGGCCAGCGGGTGAATCCTGCTAAATCAAGGATTTTCTTCTCCAAAAATGTGTCTATTAACAATAGGGAGTCCCTTTCTGCTATCTTGGGCTTTCCTTGCACAGAGGACCTTGGTACCTATCTAGGTATTCCCATCTCGGCAAAAAAGATTTCTAAAGGTAAGTGTCAATTTATTATTGATAGAGTGAGAGCTAAACTTGCTGGATGGAAGTCCAGATTCCTTTCTTTGGCAGGTCGTGTCACCCTCACTTCTTCGGTCTTAGCGGCTATCCCTAATTACTATATGCAAACCATGCTTTTACCTGCTTCAGTTCATACTGAGTTAGACCAAATATCTCGAAATTTCATTTGGGGATCAGAAGATAACCAAAAGAAGATTCATCTAGTTGGGTGGCAGTCTGTCACCCAACCTAAGGATCTTGGAGGGCTGGGACTCAAAAGTTCCAAGGAAGCTAACGTAGCAGCAATGAGTAAACTCAACTGGAGATTGTACACGGAGAAGGATAAACTGTGGTGTAATATTTTTCGCAGCAAGTATAATCTCTCTGATTGTCATTCCCCCCTCCCTGCATCTGGCTCTCCCATTTGGAAAGCCATTATTAAGGGATATGATATTTTTAAGGCTGGAATTAAGTGGATTCCACAATCTGGTGGGAATGTGAGATTCTGGACTGATTGTTGGTGTTGTGATATCCCACTTATTTCTTGGATATATGGTCCTCATACTCCTGGCTTCGAGCTCATCACTGTTGCTGAATTTTTCAATGTTGGTGCATCCGCTGCTGATCTTATTGCTTATCCCATTCCTATCGACATTGAACCCTTTATCCATGCTGTTCCTATATCTCTTTTTGCTTTAAGAGAAGACACTTTTGCTTGGGTTGGTAGCTCTAATGGGTCTTTCTCATCTGCCTCTGCTTATTGTATTACAAAGCATCTCCCTCTTAAGCCTTTGGAGGATTGGAGATGGGTGTGGAAATCTTATACTTACCCAAAAATTCAATACTTCCTTTGGTTGCTTGCCCATGATCGTCTAAAATGCTTCTCCTATTTACATAGACTCGGTATTATCTCCTCTCCTCTATGCCCGTTATGTCATTTGGAAGATGAAACAGTTGAGCATCTCATTCGCTCTTGCCCTATTTCTGTTGTTATTCTTTCTGATGTTCTCCCTGGTGTTTTGTCTCAAGACCAGCTGAACTTGGATTTTTTTATCTTGGCTTAAAACAAATTGCTCCCGGATGAACACTAATGTTGTCCTCAATATCCCCTGGGCAGTGGTTTTTTGTTTTGCTGTGTGGGGAATCTGGCTCCATCGGAACCAACTCATTCATAGATCGAATCCGTATGGTACTGCCATTTCAAAAAGGCTGATCCTTGAGAAAGCCTCTAAATTCTGGGCAGGGCAGTCCCTACCAACCCCTCCTTCTCGTGGATCCTCTTTCTTTAAATGGTCCAAACCCCTCTCTCCCTTTATTAAACTTAACACAGATGGCTCTGTCCTTGGGAACCCAGGTGGAGCCGCTTCGGGAGGTTTGTTTCGAGATCATAATGGTAGTTGGATTCTTGGATTTGCCAGAAAAATTGGAATCACTAGCAGCCTTGCTGCTGAGCTTTGGGCTTTGAGAGATGGCCTTGCCCTTGCTGTTACTTATTCCTATTCTCACCTAATTGTTGAAACGGATTCCAGTACTGCTTTTAATTTCATGATGAATACTGCTTGTGTTTCTCATCCCCTCAGTTCTCTGATCTTGGATTGCAGGGATCTCCTCAGACTCATCTCCTATGTTCAGATATTTCATATCAAGCGTCAATCGAATATGGCTGCTGATCAAATTGCTAGAATGGGACATTCACTGCAGCAGGATTTTGTTGTTCTTCCTCACTGTCCCGTTAATGTCAAACTTTTATGTATTTTAGATATTATGGGATATGAATTTCCCAGGAACAACTAGTGTATTTTGTTTTGTGCTGATTTAATGATATCACCCCCATTTACCCAAAAAAAAAAAAAAAAAAAATTCTACCTCTGCAAATTGTAGATCGATATCAATATGATCATTAGGGGTCCCCACACAGCATCACTGACATAAAAGGATCTAGTATCTACAATGTAGGCAACAGATAATTAACGTGTCTATTTTATATTTTTTATTTAAAAATATTAATTTTATTAATTTTTAAATAAAAATTTTAATTTTAATTTTTTTATTTAACAAATATTAATTTTTAATATTTTAATTAAAAAATTTATTTATCATATCAGTATTATTATTTAATTAATTTTTAAATAAAAAATAAAAAATTAATATTTTTAAATAAATGAAGTTAAAAATTGATATTTTTAAATAAAAATTAAAAAATTAAAATTTTTATTTAAAAAATAATAAATTGAATATCTTTAAATAAAAAATACAAAATTAACATTTTTATTTGTGTCTTTTCCCTAATTAGGACCTTCACTGGCTTGATAAAATTGTTGAGACGTCCATTTTTGAGTCCATAGCTGCCTGTCTCTTATTTTTCCAGCGTTCAATATTGGATTCATTGGCAAAGATTACTTGCTAAACAAATTTCAATTTCCAGTTGAAAAAAGAATATTCAATAAGTAAGGGCGGTTTAATGAAAACTCAAAGAATATTCAATAAGTAAGGACGGATGCTCTCTAAGTGAAAGCTGATGACGGGAAATTTTAAAAACAGGAAAATTTTAATTAAGGTTGCTTCAAAAGTAGGCATTTCTTACATCTGAATCTTAAGGTATTTCAGAAAACTATTCCAAATTTCATGCATACACGCAGTTCCAAATCTCTCACATACCTGCGTGTATGGATGAAATTTGAAATAGTAGAAATTTAATTTTCTACAAATTTCTCTTTCCTAATGATATGTAGGTCAGCAGTTCCTCTTCTTCCACTATAGTCTATAGTCGTCATGGACGACAAGATCTGTAGATGGGTATTGTTTTATTCATAAGTGACATCTTAGTAGCCTTCCTTTTTTTCATTTTTTTTTTTCCTTCCAGGTTTTTATATCTGAG